TTAGGGTCAGTACCGAGTCAATTAAGAGCAGATGGAGGCATTAGCAGCGAGTGGCTCCATTCCGGAGGGAACAAGCTGGAGGGCAGAATGTGGGGCAGTTCAGGAAAGGAGGGATTTTCCACAGCAGGGGAGGAGTTAGAAGGATACAACAGGGACTGTGCAGATGCCAGAGAAGTAGAAGGGGTCAAAGAGAGATCAGGAGAGCCTTGGAAAAATCTCATCTTTTCACATACTGGCTTCAGTTTGTTGTCTTTCCTCCCTTTCACAGAAATCTCCAAGGCTTCTTCCTTTTCACTTTCCCTTTCTATCCCTTAATGTTTTTGGCTGCCTCTGACTCAGATTCCTTCTAAGGGAAAATAGGTATTACATACTTCCAAACAGCTTTTTTATTGGATAGCTGCTCCCTTTTTGGCTGATGCCCTCTATGCCTAACAAGCTTTTGTCCTTATAGCACTGTGGGTGTGAACATTAGGTCAGGTAACTATAATTGCCCAACCTGCAATGTGAGTGCAGCATAATGCAGGGAAATGATTAATGAATCAGTCATCCAACCAAATGCTAATATTTGAATTTGCCCTTGATATATAGAGAGCAAAAGTGCTGGTGGAACTATTTTTCAATTTTATTGAAGACGCTGATGATACCCTGAGAGAGGGAAAGTAGGTCTGATCCTAGGCCCAGAGTGATCACAGTTGTCTTTGAAGTACTATGAAATGTTCAGGGATTTGTCTTTGTGATTCTCATTGCAGTCACTAAGAGTGACCATGAGAAGTCACTAAGAGTGCTTGCTGATGTCCCAGGCAGAGCATAGAGAATTACACCACGGTATCATGGGGCTCAAGATTTTGTGTGCAAGACTTAAAAACAAGCAGCAGTTTCTGCTTGGCTGCTTAATTCACTGGTTAGCTGAAAATTTAACTGGCACATTAATATCTTAGCACTTATTAAATGGACACCTCAAATTGATAACCATGAGTAATACTTTTATCTTTTTACATCTCTCCCTGACATTCCCATCATCATTTCCAGCAAATTTTCAGGAATATTAATGCATTTAAACATATATATATATATGTAAGAAGCCCTATTCTACATGTTTCATTTTGCATCCTGCTCTGTGCTTACCTGCTCCACTCCAGAATACCTCCATTTCAGTTAGGTCATAGCTAAACTACTTAAATTTCTAACTCTAATCTGCTTTATTACCTTTCCATGCACTTGATGCCTTTTCATTTTCTAGTAGTTGAAATACTAGGATACAATTATTAAGATATTCAAGAAGTGGTAAATAAGTGCTCATGTGTCATAAAATGACAGATGAAAAAGCATACTGTAAAGGAGAAGCGTTGATTTTAGTTGTCCTGAGAATTAGTAAAGATAGACACTGACTGGTGAAGATATGAAATAGAAAAAAGCCCCATGAAGATTAAAAAGAGCTATTATCTCTATGATCATGTCTCTTCTTTTCAAGTACAATATTGTGCTCCCCTGAGGATGCAATTTAAACTGATAGTGCATCACAGAACTCCTTTGCAGCCTTTTGCAAGTTGACTTAGGCAGCAGTTGCACTCCTCAGTGCAGTTGACTTATAATAAACCTTTGTGATGAGTACAAAAATACCAGTCAAGTGCTCTTCAATTAAAGATCTATTTAGGTGGGAACAAGTAGAAATTCTGGCAGTCATTTGAGCAGTGCTATCAAAATTGAACTGCTTTGCAAAACTACGTCCATCTTGGTTTTGAACTTCATTAAAAAAACAGAACCAGTACTGAGGGAGAGAAGAAGTGTATCTGTGGAAATGAGAAGAGTTTAAAAAAATACCAGAATTATGTATTTGGTCATCATTAGAACTGTTCTAATTTTTCCTTTTGAAATGAGGTTTTTGTTCCCATCTTTACCTTGGAAAATGTAGAAGAAAATGTCTGAAAGTTGAAATCAAATTAAATGCCTGAGAAAAAGAATCTTGATGAGAAATTTCAACATCAAATCTAAAATTATCACAATCATCAGTGATATTTGGTCTTTCACCCTTCTCATAGCCCTGCTGACCAGGTACACCCTCAAGTGTTTGGAATAAAATAATTTTGCAATTGGTGGATTAAAGTGTAAACTTCGACACATGTTTGCTACAGCACCATCATCACTTGAAAAAGCAAACTTCTGTTGCTGCAGGATTTGATCCATCTAGCAAGAGAGAGAGGAAAAAAAAGAATGTTCTGAACTTGCAGATGTTTTTCCTGGAGGAGTAATGACTCTTATGTAAATAATCACTTTATTCTGCAAGTGCATACAATTTCATTCCACAAATTGATTTCACCTCTTCTGCCCTTTTCTCTGGTGCAAGCCTCTGCTAGATCTAGCAAGCCTCATTATTCTCTTTTTAAATATCAAAGCTATAAACATCCAAGTCAGAGCTGTGTAGGAACATCGTTTTCAAAAAACATCTTGAAATCTCCAAGTTGGTGTCAGATACAAATCTTGGCTAACACTGTGAATGACAGATGTATTTTATCACTAATGTGGAAGAAATGCAGCTTTTTAGCATCATCTTCTGTAGGCAGGTAATGAGAGAGGACATACATATGTAAACATAAACATCAGAAGTGATGGAATAGTCTGGTAAATAAATTCTTTTGCTGCAATACAACTGTTTTCCAGTTAAACATCAAACATGCAATGTGTGGTTGTTTGCTCAACCTCTGTACACGGCAAACCACATCTACAGTGCTGAGCAACTCTGGCACTAAAATTCATCATCAGTGAGCAGAGCAGGGGGACACTTAACATGGTATGCCCAGGCCCACCCATGTCACCTCACAGAAATAACTGGGTGTACTCAGAAATTACAGTAATGGAAAGAGGAGCAGAATCATCCCCTAAATCTTTGTGTGTTCATAAACTGTCACTGTCAGTTTTCAGCTACCCTGTGTTATGAGCTACAGTTGGTTTTTTTTCTCTTTTTTGCTGTCTTTCATGATACATGTGCATGTCTCATAAATATGATTTATTGTTTCTCTTTTTAAGCAAAAATGGTTGGAGGAAGAGTATGGCATTAATTCCTTAGGGAAGATAATTTTCCGGAGGAAAGTTTGTTTTAGGCAGTTAGTGAGTAGCTCTTATTCTTAGAACTTGAAGGTATCTATTTCTCAGATAATTATATCTTGGCAGTATATTGTGATGTATTTCAGCTGTGAGTATGAATTACAGTTTTCTAACCTGTTGTTTCAGGAATACTTTGTCAGTGAATTTCACAGGTTAATTACACATTGTTTAACAAAATGCCAGTTTTCATTGTTTCCTCAGACTGCATTCATTTTCATAGTGCCTGCTTGTAAGGTAGGCATCTATTACATCAGATTTGTTTTCAGCTCTCAAAGTAGCAAAATTTGTATACCTTCTAAGTGGAAATCTTCCAGTTCCTGTAAGGATTACTCCTTTCTCCTAGGTGGTCTTTTTTTGTATGTTCACTACTGCTTATGGAAAAAATGTTAAGTGTGGCAGCTAAAGTTAAACCCAGAGTTCAGTGTGAAACTGGGTATTAATGCAGGATTTGCCACTGGGGATGAGCCCTGTTCCTGTTGAGCTCAGCTTTCCCTCTCTGATGGATGCCCTGGTAAGTATTTCAGAGGAAACGGCAGCACAGCCCTCAGTAAGGAAATAATGAACCTAACACAGGAGGTCTTTTGAGCTGTGCTGTGAAAAATGAGAGTCTGTATATTTACTTATTATACCCAGTCTAAAGCAGCTCTTGGGGTTTTTTCTTGTTAAGTATAACTGTTTGATCCTTTCTGATACCCTGCTCTTCTCATAGTCTCAATGATGTCTTGTAACAATGAGTTTCACCTCAGGTTAATCAAGTTCTCTAGAAAAAGATGTTTTCCTTTATCAATTTTATATGTGTTGTCTTTTCAATTTCATTCAATGTCCACAGGAGTAGTTTTATTTCACTTTTTCTACCATTCATTATTTTCTAAGCCTCTGCAATGTCTTCCCTTCTTCATCTCCTGTCTAAAGCAAACAATTCCAAATGTCTTGGCTGCTTCTACTTGATTTGTAAGCTTTTAAGTATTTTTATTTCATTTTTGTACCTGTCCTAATTTTGAAGTGTACTTTTTAAAGATTAGAATTTGAGGCATAAGCCTGATCTGTAGGTTGGAAATGGGATATTACTTGTATAATTCTGAATCTTTTGACTATTTTTGTTTTTACATTTCCTTTTTTCTGGTGATCCCATACTGGAACGATTTCAGGGGAACTTTCACCACTAGGTAGATTCTCAAAACACCTCCCACAACTACATCTTCACTTACCTGGGCGTAGTAGGAGTGCTTCAGATGACATGTGCCACTGTGCTTTCTTTGTTATTCCAATGAAAGGACAAACTGTTTTCAGAGCATTTTAATGGGGCTTTTTAAATGATCAAGGACATATATTTGTCAAATACAGGTGAAAGACAGGCACCTGGAGTGGCTAATTCAGTAGTGTTCTGCTCATTGTGAAACTCGGTTGTCTGAAGTGAAGCCCATGTTTCTTCCTGAAGAGAGGTTTAAGTAATTGCAGTTGTAGTTGTACAGTTTGTTATTAATAATCCTTTGAGTTATCTTGAGATGCCTCAGCACCAAAGTTTAGCCTCTGCATTTTAAAGCACCTTTAAGTCTCTTCTTCCAGAGCGCTGCCCAAACTTGAGTTTATCTAGTTCTGGCTGACTTTCATCTATGAAAATGCAGTTTGGCACAAGTATTAGAAAACAGATGGACTCCCAAGTCAGAGGTTGCTTCCATAACGGTGGATTTTCATCATTCAGAGAATCATTCTCAAACTTTTTCTCTCATTTAATACCTTTGTAAATGAGGATGTAGGACAGAAAAAGTCTAGACTGCACTTAACTTTCAGTCCTGATGTAGCAGCTTTTTGTCTTGAAATTAGCTGTGAAAAATAGTAGTGCAGATTGCACATCTCTTTTGTTTTCTCTTTTTTTTTTTTTTTTTTTTAATCCCCAGATCTAAACGTCCAGTGCCAGTTTCAACCACAGCTCCCAGAATTGACTCTCCCAGGGCTGTAATTCCCCATCAGAAGGTAAGTGACAATTTCTCCTCAGCCAGAATGAATACTGTTTCTATCTGCTGTGGTGAAGGTAAATATCTATTACAGGAAATAGCTTCTGCCTGCCCCAGATAATTAAAGGTTGAATGAATGCACAGACAGCAAAACTGCTGCAAGGCAATGTATTAGTGATCTGTATTTTGCTAATTTCTGATTAGCAGGACCAAAGCATCCAGCTGTCCTCTGATGTGATTTGGTCTAACCAATTCTGAGCAACTGTTTTCATCTTAGCTACAAGAAGCCACTAAAGCTTCTCAAAAATCTACATTTGCTTTCATAGATTATTGGGGAGAAACATTAGACTGTGCCTCAATCTATCCAAATCCTGGCTGCAATAAAACTGATTGGGAAAGAGGACATGAGGACATTTGAAAGCTTGAATCATATAGTGTTCTTATCATAGAATTCAGAAGACCTGAGAATAAAAAATAAAGAAGATAAGTCAATTTAATGAATAACAGCAAGTGGCAGAGGAAATGAATGGCTTGGTTTCCATTGTCAAAGCACATCATCTTTCATAAAATAAATGTTCATTTTAGAATAAACACTGACTGTACCTGGCAACTCATCTTCTGTATCTTTGGAGACACTGAGGAGCAGGGGTACCTGAAAGATGGTGTGTATATATCCCTAGGCTCAGGCTCTGGGCAGAGCATTTGTATTGCTGATGCATTTGATTAGATAAGTGGACAGGAGCTAAAGTTTCCATTGCTGCAACTTATTCCTGCTGTCTGTGCCAGTTTCATTCCCAGCATGCATATAAATAAAAAACACTGATGATCAAAATACATGGGGAATTAGATGATTTTCTACTGGGTTTGACAGTTCCAACATCCATAGATCAATTTTAAGTAATTTTTTATAAACACTGTGCTTTCCAAATTCAGAGCACAGATGGTAACATCATCCCTGAGACTGCTGCAAATAGGTTCAAAATAGCAGAAGAGAATGCACCTGGGGGGAGTAATTTGATTCAATTTTATTTTGTGAAATTTTAAATTAACCTGACTGGCCGTTTATTAGTTGAGGCAGAAATTGTTTTTTCAGACTGGATGTTGTAAACTTTTTTGGCAAGGGAAGATGAAACTAAGAATTTATCTTGCTCAGAGTTGTTTCTGTTTATATCATGATTTTATAGATGTTATTTTGGAGGAACTTACTGGAATAGTCACCAAACAGTACTGTGAAATTCCTAGGAAAAAAACGATGAATCATTCTTTTGGTTAAACTGGTGTTTGACTGCACCAGCAAAGTAATAGGGACAGAAAGGTGAAGGAGTTCTCATTTTCCCTGAAGACCCACCCAGAGTGCTGTCAGTGTTCAAGGCAGTGAGTAGATGTGTCTCATCAGTTATTCACCAACACCAGGTTGACTCCTGCCTTTTGGGGCTCTATATCACCTGCACAAGTGAAATTAAAATTTTGAAATGAAAATTTTGTCCCCTTCCTCCACAGGCACATAAAGCTCTTATATATTGGACTTTCATTACTCTTTCTGGGGGCATTTTAGGTTCATTTCTTCCTTGCCAAGTGTCAGTTTTAAAATTGCTGCCATAGGTTTTCAAAGCTGTTTACCACAAAAAATGCTTTCTTCCCTTAACTATCTGCTGTGTAGAAAGTTAACTTTACACACGGCAGGGTTTTCTTGAAGATTCTAAAAGACCCCTTGGCATGAAAGCCATAAAGACACTTTACATTTCCTAGTCTAACCCTTCAGAGAGAGATGAGGATCAAAAGACTCAACCCGTTTTCAGAAGCTTGCTGTCTTATGTTTGAGAATCCTGTGCAAGGTGCTCAGGAAAGGTTTGTAGGAGCTGCTGGAGGCAGCATTTTCTGAGCCAGCTACACGCAGTACCAGCAGCTGGAAAAGAGAATTAGTGGAACTTGCTAGAGAAAAAGGGTGGCTTCCAGGGGGAGTATGGTGGGAAACAGGTTATCTTGCAGTATTCAGGAAGATCTTAGGTGTAGGGTCTTTCACCCAGGGGAAGAGGCAACATCAGAGTGCTGGACCCCTTGCAGGTCAAGAGGAGTGACACTTGTCTACATTAATACTAAGTTTTAAGTGAAGAAGAATTCTTCTTGGGGGATTGTTTGGAAGGAAAAAAGGCATTGAGCTCTCAGAGAAGTCTAAAAATCCAGAATAAAGATATTTTACTGGTAAAGGCAGTGTAATGCTGATTTGGCAGTAAGGTGTGTTACAGTAAATACACATGAAAACCAAGGTTTCTTTGCTTGCCCCTTTATTATTTCTAGTAACAAGTGTCACTGTAGAAATGAAGAATTCTGTGACACACAGGCAGAAGTCACCTCCACACCTCTGCTTGACAGTGTTTAGACTGATGGTTTACATGAAATGAATTTGATGGTATTTTTTAAAAACCAGCAAAAGACTGCATTACAAGACAGTCATGACAGTGTCATCCTCTTACATCAAGAGAAGCTTTCCTCACCCTTCTCTGGTTAAGGTTAAGGTGTGGCAATGTTAGCTAAACAATCTGCATGTGCAACTTCAGTGTCTAGTTAAAACCATAAATCCTCTTGTACATTATTGCTCATCTGATTGCAGCTTCCACTAATTTTCAAGCATGCACTTCTTCTTTCACTATTTTTTTTTTGTTTTATGGAAACAGCATACTTTTTTGACAAAGTTTCTTTCACAAAGCTGATCAATATTATAGATGATGCAGGTTCTGCAACCATAAGTATATAGGGCTATTATTGGAAATAAGGTTTGATTGCATTTCAGTTTCACTATATCTGACATAAATCTCAAACTAGAAACAATTTTCATTTAGTTTAGTCAAATATTTTTGATTGAGTGAAGTCTTTTGCACAGGTGGGAAGAAAGGGCATAGTTAATGTTGAAAGAATTCAAGTAAGAGTAAGCTTGAGTCCAAGGATTTAAACTAAGCCATCAATCAGTCAATGAGTTCCTGCAGCTCTTCAGAGGGGACACAACACAAATGAAGACTCAGCTCAGTGCAGTTCAAAACATTCAAGCTGGCATTTTAGGGCTAAGCATGGCTTTAACATTTGTTCATTTGCATGAAGGTATTGAAGCCTTGTTAATTCTAATAATATGGCTATGTGTTGTGCTTTCTGTGAAACACTACTGACAACACTTTCATTCTGGAGTCCCAGTGAGCATCTTGTCATACTTATGATTTGTTTCCTCCAGATTTGGGAGCCTCTGTGTCTAAGAAAAAATAGATGGAGATGACTGAATTTTAAGTAGAGTATAGGATGGAGGAGCTGGCTCAGCCAAAAGCAGTTTGATCATGTCTGAGCAGAGTCATTCAGTGCCATGGTGCCTCTATCTCCTTTATCCTCTAAAAAATGTAAAGCAACAATTGCTTCTTGAGCATGTTGGGTGGTCAAATTCACTGGTATACTGTTAAAATTGTTCTCACAGATGTGCAAGTGGTGGGTAATGACTGTAGGATCACAGCAATAGATAAATAATGATTTGTCAAAGGGAGAGGGCCTGCAAAACCTGGTGTTTATCTCCCAATCCAAATTTATTTTTCACTTCTCTGATACATAAGAAGGAACATTTGCCTTTCATAGAAACTGGATTTTTATAAACAAATAATAATAATAATACTTCAGAATGGAAATTGAGCTGATTGTTAGCTTCCTTCTATTTTAAAAGGTTTGAGACTCCTCTACATTTATCAGTTTGAAGCTCATTCCCTGACGTTATGCAGTTTTCCTCCCGCAGTAAGGGATTGCTGCACGATCCCTCATCTTTCTGAAGGGAAGCCCATTGCTCAGTGTCAGAGCCTCCTCTCCTGGTCGGCTGGAGGGGTAGCATCAGACTCCCGGTGCTGGAAATGTCAGCGTGCTTTTCCAGCCACTGAAACAGAATGGGATGAGAGATGGGGAACAGGGGAACGTTTGTAATTCTTGGCTGCATTTCATGTGATGCAATGCTGAAAGCTCAGTGCTGCTGCTCAGTATTAGACATTTGCCCTTCACAGTCAGAAATGGATTCCAAAATTCTTCATTGATCTGATTTTGACACTGAACTGGAGACAAAAAATAATTCTACAGTATTTGCCGAGGAATAGACTGAATCAGAGATTTTTTTGTTGGTCACAAAAGGGAAGAGCTAAATATGCTGGTGATGAGGCAGTAATTATTTAGAAGTACAGCCGCTCCCTTAGACACTTCCTGTTTCATCCATTTTTTCCCCCACAAGACAGGAAAAACAACTACCCTAAAACTATCCAAAATACGAACTCAAGATGGAGATTGCTAACCTGGCACTGCTAGGTTCTTAAGAATTCTAATGCTGATCTGCCAGTATGCTGGTACTCCAGCTAGGGATCATTTCAGGAGCAAAACCAGGACTCCATTTGTGCCAAAAGGGAGCAAAATAATCAGCCATCTTTTTTTAGGGCTGTCCTATGATTTTCCCTTTGCCTATTGTTACTGTCCAGTAACACCAAGACTATGAAAATGCATTAGAGCTAAGGAAATATGTGGCATTTCTCTCATTAGCAGTTGAAACTGATACTTTACAATCAGCTTTCCTTGCATATCCTTTTATTTTGGGGTGTAGGGAGAAACCCACCATTAACTAAAAGCCAGAGTTTTCAGGGTAACAAATGAATATAACTCCAGCATATCCTTTTCCTTCTCTGTTACATCTGTGTTTATTTTTTATTTAATAATTGTTTTGTCCCTCCGGCATGTAAAAATGATTTGCCCAAGTGATTACTTAATTTTTGAACGTGACCTTGTGCATTTGTGCCTCTTTTTGAACACCTTTTTAGAGAGAAGCCCTGTTTTCTGTTTATTTAATGATTTCCGGAAGCTTTCAATAGGCCACTGGAAGGGATTGTTGTTTGCTGTTTTCAGTGTCAGGGTATAATAACCAAAGTGTGTATTGCAAATGTATTTATGTAAAAAGGCATGGTCTGAAAATGCTTTTAGGATTATCTGTTTCTACAGCCTCGGGCAGCTATTAATGCCAGCTAAAATCTCTTCCTGTTTATCACTAAGAAAAATTTTCTTAGTTAATTTTATCTGCCTTACATTTTTGATTCAACATGTGTTTAATGTTATGATTACTTATATCCTTAGACTTTTAGGGTTTTTTTCCAATAAATTTTAATTAATCAAGGCATATTATCTTGATATTTTATTCAAATGTGTGCTCCCTAAATTTATACATGCAATATAGAAAAATCGAAAAGGGCAATAAAAATATTTTTCTCCTGAACCATAGTGTTCAAATTAGTAAATTACATTAATGATAACCAATACTAGCAAAAGCATAGAATTAGAGGCCAAATTATTCTCAGGCCTGTATTTCATGGAAGGGGAAGATGAGTGCAAGGTGTTAAAGATGATGATTGCATTGCCAATGAATGAGGCAAAATCTCACTGCAGGCCACCACCTGCTCTTGAACTGGCTATCATTGAGGCCAGATTGTGGGCTCCATTCCTGCTTCAGGCTGATCTCCCCTGCCTGTCCCTGTCCCCTGAGCTGGACTGCAGCAAGTAGCCAGCATTACTGGGCCTCTTAACTGTGAGCATTTTTCTTTTTTGATAGCTTCTCTTATTTTGATTTCACTAAGGTGCATTTATAGTGAATAATTTATGAAACTCACGTGTTGGACTGTGTTTTTCCAGGATGAGTTTTTGGTAGATTGTTTTGAATCTGAACACCAGCACAGGCTTCTATGGGTATAGATATTGTAGGAGAGATTCCTTTGGGTAAGGCAATACCTGCTGCTGTCCCAGTTAGGAATATTATGTGGGACAGGACTGTATGATCACACACATACCTACATATTCAAGCACACACTCCCTCAAGTGGAAATTAAGCAGGAATGATCAGCATAGGAGCAGCCTCTTCATGGAGCAGTACCTGTTCTTGAGTCCTGTTGGTGTCTCTGCTAACCCTGCTGCATGGCCTGATCAGCATGAACCAGAGCCCAGGAAAGCAGTGCATAATTTCCATAACCTCAAGTGCACTCATAGAAAACAGAATGGTGTGGTCTAGAATCCTTGTGTGTTTATAATAATGGCATTGACTTCTATGGTTGTACATGATCTAAAATTATTCTTACCTCAAGACATTTTTTTTAAGATTTCTTAATTATCCTAGAAATTAATGGACAGTATTGCCTTAATATAAAATTATTGCTGTGAGGTTGACTAGTAGCAAATGCTCTCTTAATGTTAAGCTTTATTTGTTGATTTCAACTAAAACCTAGTAAAAGAATGCCTGAGTTGGTTTTGCTTTCCTTATTTTGAAACAATGCATTTCTTTGTTGAAAATCTTCCCTGAAAGTTTGAATGCTTTGGCCCCAATCTATTTATTGCTAGTTTATGACTATGTTTACAGCATTAATTGCAAATATGTTATTTTTGCATGTGTTCTATGATTGCTCTTTTCTTTTTTTTCTTTTCTTGGCCTGCATGTTTGCTACTACAGGAACCTGCTTGGGAAATGAATGGCAACAGAACAACCTTCAGCCCTCTAACTAACACGGCGACGGGGCCTATGGGTAGTGTTTTAGCAACCAATGGAACCTTTTCAGGCTACCTCAACCAGCAAGAGATCAGCCTTTCAAATAGCTCTTCCTACCTAAAGACTACCACTGTTAGATCTTCCATGTCCTCTCAGTCCGTGACTCCTGACATTTCACCTGCCAAGAGCTCGTTAGGTTCCAAAGCAAGCCCAGCTTTGGCTGGTGGCAGTAGCCCTGCTCACCAGCTGAGCCCTGCAAGGCAGTATAACAACCCCATTGGCCTTTACTCGGCAGAGACCCTGAGGGAAATGGCTGAGATGCATAAATTGAGTCTCAACCGAAGGGCTTCGGAAGGTGGACTTCCTAGAGGGTAGGTAACATGGTAACATCTTTAATAATTGCAATAAGTAATGAACTTGCTGAGCAGTGAATGTAATGGTGCTTACTCTATTGTGCATTTGTCTAGCAGTCATTATTAAAGTCTGGATCAATAATTAAGTTTTCCAACAGCCCCCAAAACATACCCACATTGCCATTACAGAACAATGGTTGTTGGTATGTGGCGTGCAGCATGGATTGGCAATAGTCAGCAGAGCATGAGGGGGAACACTAGGACTGAAGTAACTGTAATCATCTCAGGGTTGTGCCACTCAGCAGTTCTAACTAATGCATGGAGTCTCAGAGAACCAAGTATTGCTGTCAGACATCAGAGCAGGTGCTATAAACCACACCAAATCTTTGGTACTTTGCTAGAGAGAAATGGCTTTGTCCAGCAAATCCGACATACCCAGCTACTGGAGTGTCCTGCTGTAATTCCTGCCTTATTCCTGTTGGCTTTCCTATGCAGAATGAGTCAGAACTGCAATATTTTGAATCCTCTTGCATCTTGCATCTATTAGCTTTAATGTTAACTTTGCCATAACAAGGAATGATCTCCAGATACTGCCCAGATAGTTTGAGCCCATGCTGTCAAGGTTTTCCATATTCCTATATTGCGAGTCAACTATTTTATTAGTAGGTTTGTGAAGTGAGGAGCTTGGACTGTTGTACGTGACAAAAAGCAGGGAGAAACAGGTTTTCCTAATTTTTTTGCCTCCATGTATAAATCATCAAACAAATCTAATTTTTTAGTTCATTTGGGGTTTGGGTTTTTATTTTAAATGAAGATAAATTGCTTGTTAGGAATATGGGGAAAAGTGGTTTTTTTGACACTAGGGACTTGGCTGCATAAGGAAAACCAGAAAATTCTGACAATCTGCTCAAGGTCTGATAGCAACTGCATATTTTCAAGTACTTTATAACCATTTGCATCATCTCTTTGCAAAAATAAAACCAAGAGGTTTTAAGTTGTAGAAAAGTAGGGATATTTCATCCTATTAAAAGAGCATATACACCTGTTCTAAATGATTCAAGCAATTTTATGTGATTCACTGCCACTCTCTTGAGCACTCAACATTAACAATCCTAATTAACTTATCTAAGTAAATTCTATCCTCCCTTCTTATACTTGATAATTAAGTAATGCAATTACCTTTAAAAAAATAATTTCAGTTAGTTACCAAGATCAGCAAAATAAACCTCAGAATACTTGTCTCTTAATTTACAGTTTCCTGAAGAATACCAATTCTTGTCTTATTTCAATATACAGAGTTTCCTGGGTGGATATCTTGTTGTCTTTTTCTCCACTATGTTTATAATCCTCCTTAATACCTGCAGGGGTGAGGGTGGAGGGGCTGAATTTTGGCTGGCTCAGCATTGTGACTGTTTGTTATTAGAATTACAACACAACTGTAGCCATCACTCACCAAAGTCAGTGTGAGCCTTTCTATTTAGCTGGAATTAAATTTTAGGGAACTGTTATCTGCCTTTACCATCTGGAACACTGATGAACAAACAAACAAACAAAAAAAAAAACAACCTTATCCTGCTGTGCAGGAACATTCTGAAAAGATGAAAGAGCCCAGAAGCACTAAATAAATGTATCTTGTCTGGTAACTTCTCTGAGATTTAGAGAACTGTACATCTCTGTTGACATGCAGAGAAAATTCAGAGCTCAATAGTGCTCTGAGTCATTCCCACTCCCACTTGACTGTTATCCATGAAGTAAGAAGTATCTTGCCTCCTGCTCTGTGGAGAAAAACATGGAACCTGTAACTATCTTGGGACTTGGTGGCATCCATGATAATCTCAGTCTCACAGTGCATATATGGGAATAAGGAAGCACTGTGAGCACTGAAAAATTAGCTCTGGTCTTTACTGGGAACATTCTTTCCATATAATACAACATGGTTGTGATATTGTGGTGCTCAAAAACTGAATTCATTGTGCTTTCACAAACATGCTCTTAGCTGTATGGTAAAAGCTGCGAGAAAGTTCAAGCATGAGGAGTGATATTAAGGTATGTTTCAGTTCTGTGCCCTTTTCACCAGATGACTTAAACTTAATTGTGTGAATTGCTGTTACAGGTTTAGCTAAACCCTTTGGAAAATCCTATCAAGAAGCTGAAATTAATTTTGAGATTACTTCCTTGATCTGTGAAGAATAACAAAGCATCTGTTTGTCTGATACACTTTATATTAAAGCTTTATCACTCTGACCCAAGGTGAAAAATAAGATAGCCTGTAGGAGTGTGGAACGTGATGTGCTGAAAGCTCTGGAGTGTATGAATAAATATGAACAGTGAGTCATAGTTTGTAACATGCATCTTTTTCATTCCAGTGTAAGTTATTTTTCACACTGCAGGTCAAGGGCAGTAAATACCTGTCCCACAAGTACGTGCCAGGTGGCTTGGGTTACTGGCCTCTTACTGAGTGACCTCTGTGAGCAGCAAGTTGTGGTTCCAGACATGTCCCATGTATAGAGGCAAGCTAAAATTATTGTGGCTTTGAACTGGGAGGAATTTTCTCATCATATCCTAAATATAAGGAGAAGCAAAGCATTATTGTTTTTGAAGGAAGCTATAGCAGCCTCTTCACATCTCAAAAACCTTTACTGAGATGTGACTAGTGAGCTGCTCTTAGTGTGTGCACATGATATTTCTTTTATTTGGACATACTTTTATATTCCTTTAATTAAGGTTGTATTTTAAGGGTTTGGTAGTTCTGCCTTGAAAACGTTATTTTATATGTATGGTAGATGCGTGGATGAGTCAGAAAATGATACCATTACAATTGGTTTCATTATAAATGAGTGCCCAGCTGTTTCACATGCACCTAAAATGGATAGAGGATCACGGATGTGCTTACGGGCTGCAGCTTGTTCCTAATATATCTCTAACAGTTCCTGTAAGAACATTTGGCTTAGTGTAGGGTTTATAAAGCTAGAAGAATATTTCCAAATCTTAGAGTCTGACCAGTAGCTGCAGAGGGTGATCTGTGGTTGCTTTACCATGGAAATACCGAAGTGCAAAGCCTTTACTGCAGCTTTGGCTCATTAGAGTCCTCTTGATCATGAAAAGTGCTGTTCGATGAGCCAAGGCAAAAGGATCATAGGTAGGAAAAAGCACTAATATCAAAGGTTCTGCAAGGAAAAAGCAGGAGGGGCCAAATCCACTTGGAATGTCACTCTTTAACAGTGCAGCTTTGATGTCCAGTATTTTGTATCAGTCCCAGACACAGAAATGTCACAGCAGCAAGTTGGAATCCTCAGTGCCCAGTTCTGTCAACAGCATTCCATACAGCCAAGTAAAAAGAAAAGTTTAACGGACCGTGGATCTCTTCCTCTTTATTTTGCACAAAATAGGATTAATTACTCTTCAACCAAGAAAAGAGCAGAATGTGGGTATTCTAAGCTTCAGGGGGAAAAAAGTTAAAATAAATATCACAGCCCATTACTGCTATTTGTGCAACCACCAGAAAGAGTTATTGGGAAGAGCACTGTAGTCCAGACTGAGCACACTCTGTTCTGCACTCCCAGCTTTATGCAAGTACCATCACTGGTTTATACAAAGATGCAAGAATGGAGTGTGAACATACCTTTTCCATACTGTATGGAACCAGTTGGAATAAAATATACTGATATGGATAGTCCTAAAGAACATATAGCAAGCGTGGCTTGCTTTATTTCATGTGGAATAAATTAGGAATGACTATTCCAAAGTTAATTGGCTTGCACACCTCTTGGCATAATGTAGGTGCAGTCATAGCTAGGCAAATGCTTTGTTATATACAAAGGCATTTTCCTTAGTTTTAGCTTTAAAACATTTGCCAGTATATTATTTGGATCTTCTCCAGCATGTAAAAGACTTAAAAATCAGTCTTGCAAAATCAATTCTGAGGGTGGCCTGAGAACAGACTTTATCCCTGAATATTCAGTATCTAAGAGAAAAATATAGTCTCTACCACTCATTTTCTATTTTCAGTTGAGAATATTCTCTGAAAATCCTCCTTTTTTCCCCTCTGCTCCCTCCTCCCTTCACTTTGGTAGTAGTACTTTTAAGGATGCACAGCAATAAGATTGTGTTTAACAGTCAGCCAAAATGTCATGGTACCCTACTAAGTCCTGGTGGATCAACTATAATCCCTGCATTTTTTCCTTTGTTAATCATGTTGGTGTTTTTAGGCATACATTTACTTTTTATTCTTATTTTTAGATGGTCTGAGAAGAGCTGTAGTAACCTTTTGTAAATATCTTTTGCCCTTTGCACTCTACAAACTATTGACTTTTTTCTGTGTGGTTGGTTTTGATGTTGTTTGTTCTCTTTCTCTTCTTCTAGGTCATAACCAACACCGCTGCCAAGTTAGTATCACCTCTGTGTAGTGCCAGATATTTGTGTGACGCTGTGCGTGTGAAGATGTGTTTTCTGGGGTAGCATGATCCCCTGTGTTCCTGCTGTGTCTGCTTGCAAGTGCAAGTATTTTTTTAAACATCTGCTTGGTGTGGCAGGCGCCCTGCACTGCTCCTGCTGTCCAGCAGTGCTCCCACTTGGCATTTCTCAGTGTTGCTCTAATGCTGTGGATGGAGCTGCCACCTGAGCCTGCCCAGTTCTTCTAAAAGCTTTCAGGTGGTTGTTCTTCTATGGGCAGGTTTAAGTCCTCTTGAATCTTTAAGTCATCTTCATGCCCTCGGAGTTTGGAGAGCGTTTTCTGAGCCTTTTTTGCTGCATTATTAGTAAAGTACTTTAAGCTTCAATATTAAATTAATTTCTAAAGTCTGCTAAAATTCAAATTTAGGTTGCAGTAAGATATTGATATGGGAAAAAAAAATCTATTAATTGATTTACCTTGATAAATCTATTGCCCAAAAAAGAAATAACTATTGACTTGAAAATGTGATTGATCTGCTTTATTTAGGAGATTTCAGAGAGTCCTCAGTTTTGACCTTTAGTTTTCTAGAGGCAGAGGATTGTCTATAAACTCATGCTTTTTGTCT